AAAAAAAAAAAAAAAATGCAAGGGGTCAAGGAAGTTTTAAGCCCTTTTAGAAACAGAATTATCACCAGTGGAGGTGACCTTGAGAAGGGGTGATCATTCCAAGAATAGCCAAGATTCAGAATGAGCCACTCACATGTAGGGAGTGTAGAGAAGCCTGAACAGAGCATCTTGTCCCTGGATGGGCTATGGAGGCTTTCCCTGCCTCTTTCTAGGCCCCCATTTCTTCCTCCCAACTCTTGACTCTGCAGCTCTTGGGGTGAAGCCTTATTCCTGATGCTCCAGACGATCACCATCTGCTTCCTGGTCATGCACTACAGAGGACAGACTGTGAAAGGTGCTGAGGACTTACCCAAGAGCAGGCTGCATGGTTCCTGGGTACTCTCGGACCTGGGAAAGCCAGATGATGTTGAGATTGACAAGGACTCCTGTCCCCCCACTCCTAGGTGTCGCTTTCCTGGCTTGCTACGGCCTAGTCTTGCTGGTGCTTCTCTCACCTCTGACGCCCTTGACTGTAGTCACCCTGCTCCAGGCCTCCAATGTGCCTGCCGTGGTGGTGGGAAGGGTGGGTATGAGGAGCAAGGGACAAGATGTTGTTGGGTGGACGGAGGGGGAAGGTCAAGGGGCAGACTGGAAGGTCAAAGTGTGGGGTGTTGGACTTGGGGAAGTGGGGAAATTAACGATGGTAGTATGGGAAGGGCTCAGATGACAGAGCCAAAGGTCTCCACTCCTCCCCTAGCTTCTCCAGGCAGCCACCAACTACCACAATGGGCACACAGGCCAGCTCTCAGCCATCACAGTCTTCCTATTGTTTGGGGGCTCCCTGGCCCGAATCTTCACTTCCATTCAGGTGAGTGCAACGTCATCTTTCTAGAAGGCACTAAAACCTTATCATCTTACTTCTCCGAACTAAGGGCCAAAGCTGCCCCTATCAGGAACCTTTGTCCATAAGGGAACCTTTTTTGAGTTATGCTGAAGGGTAACCCTGGCTCTGTCTCTTATGACCAGGAAACTGGAGACCCCCTGATGGCTGGAACTTTTGTGGTCTCCTCCCTCTGCAATGGCCTCATCGCTGCCCAGCTTCTCTTCTACTGGAATGCAAAGCCTCCCCACAAGCAGAAAAAGGCGCAGTAGAGCCAGCTGCTAGTCATTCCGTTTCCACTCATTTACCCAACCTCAGGGTTCTCCCCATCTGAGCCAGCCTGCTGGTGTGACTTACTCATCCGCCATTCCTCTGCAGTAGCAGACTTCCTGAGCCAGGGTTTGCTTTTATCGGAAACAAATGGTTGATGGATCTAGATCCTTAGAAAAGGAGAGAATGGGGGTAGCATCTTCCAAGCCAAAATTTTGACATTTGAGTGCTTTTCTAAGCCCTGTACATGTACTATTAATCATTCAGCCAAGCCTCTTCCTCTAGCAGCAATTTCTGGCTGTTTAACCCTCTCCCTGGGCCAAATGTTTTACCCTGGCCTCTAACCTTCCTACTTCCCTTCTGGCCCTACAAGAGAGTCTGAACAGCAGAGTGGAGGGAACTAGGGGGCTGTGGCTGCTTCCCTGCCTCCGTCAGCCCGGCTGGGACTGCCTCCGAGACCCCAGTGCTGGGGGTGGGGGAAGGTGGACAGAGAATGACTCAGGCAGGGCCCCAGGGTGGGGTGAGGAGGTTCCTGCTCTGGCAGGTCTAGGCGGAAGGGAGTGGAGATGGGGCTGGTTCCTGCTGCAGTGAGAGGAACAGATGGGACAATAAAGACTGGAGACGCAGTTGAATAATACAAAACTGTGTTTAATACTACCAAAAATATAACTGTGTGCTGCTCTCCCTGGCTTCCACGGGAGGACTGCAGGCAGCCCCTGAACTGTAGTACAATACAGCAAAGGGTTGGCCGCCTGGGGTAGAGAATGCTGCCGGTTTAAAAAAGGAAGAGGGGGCCAATCCAGTGAGGTCTGCATCCATGAGGGTTAGAGGTGGGTTAGGGGCATGGGGGTACCAGAAAGGGGAGGGTTGTATGGAGTGGGAGAGCCAGGGGGCAGGTAGGGGACATAGGGGGGCAGCAGCTCCCCCTGGAGCCTAGGGTCACTCTGAGGGAGGGAGCACGGTGAGGGGGCCTCCAGTTTGCAGTGGGAAGAGCTGCAGAGAGAAACAAGAAGTTAGAGGGCACTTCCTGGATTGGAGGTGAGTCTGACCAGCTGTGTGCAGACAGGGTAGAGCTTGCCACCCACCCAGCCCTGGCTATGCAGCCCGCTGGGCGCAGCAGGCCTGGAAGCCGACCCGGCGATGGAGAGCCCGCGGCCCTGTTGGGGCACGCTCGGGAGCGGGCTTGCCTGCTGCAGGGCCTTTTCCTCTTGGGGCGTCAGGCCAGGAAGGGGCAGAATGGGCTTGGCCTCTCCTTACCCCGAGGGCTGGGAGAGGAAGTAGGGTCACACACAGGCCAGCAGCAGGGGGGAAATGGGGCATCTAACTAGGACACAATTGCATCCAGGGGTCTGTCACCTGACCCTGCAGGGCCGCCACCTCCAGACTGAGGGAAACGCCCTCTGGGAGAACCCTGGCCCGCCCCACCCTACACTGGCCTCGGAGGTACTGGGGTTCGTGAACCCCACACTTTGGCCCGGAGTGGCCTCTGCTTGGGTGGGCTCCCGTCCTCCGGCCTCCGCCCCCACGGAGGCTCCAGGAGAGGGGCGCAAGGGCCTCCGACTTCAGCCCGCTTCCCAGGCACTCACCCATAGCTGCCAGGCAAGTAGGCTGTCGAGTAGCTGGGAGGTTTGTACCCAAAGCCTCTGCTGGGTTGGGTGGTCGCGTACCCTGGCCCCCAGAGTGGGCCGCCGCTGGTCAGGCTGCCTCTTCCCTGTCCGCAGCGGGAAGGTCCGGCACCCGCGCTCTTGGCCTTGCGCCGAGGCCGGTACTTGTAGTCGGGGTAGTCGCGCAGGTGCCGAGCGCGGAGCCGCTTGGCCTCCTCCACGAAGGGCCGCTTCTCGTCCTCGCCCAGCAACTTCCACTGCGCGCCCAGGCGCTTGGAGATCTCGGAGTTGTGCATCTTGGGGTTCTGCTGCGCCATCTGGCGGCGCTGAGCGGAGCTCCACACCATGAACGCGTTCATCGGCCGCTTCACCTTCTCCAGGGGCAGCACCCCAGGGGCCGCGGGGCTCCCAGCACCTTCCCGCTCCTGGGGTCCCGAAGACGAGGAGGCAGCAGCCGTGGGAGCCGGAGGCTCCAGGCTCCAAGCCTGGTCCTGTGAGGAGCCCGGTAGCGCCATGGGTCGGGAGAAGCCTTAAGAGGGCGTCCTGAATGCCCTCCCCTCAACGTGAAGCGTCGATCCTGAAAATGGAAGGGTCTTCCCAATCTGGAGTCGTTGCCGAGGAACTTGGGTTTCTAAAAGGTATATTTCATCCCTAAAGTCCAGCGCTTAAACTGGAGCCTTTGCTTCCAACCAGTTCGGCACACTTTGGGGAGAGCTGAATGCCAAATCCGCTGTCTGGTGTCCCCGCACTGAAGTGGTGCTGCCCTGAGGCCTCCTGACTGGGGGGACCCCCGGTTCCTCTCCCCGACCCGCAGCTGCGACCAGACCGACCTTCCGTGGAGGGGGTAAACCATAAAGCGCTTTGTGGTCTCCGGAGTTCCCGCAGCTGCCAAGCGCAGATGCCACAGACCTCTCCCACCTGGGCTCAGCGTTTGCGGCAGGCGGGCCAGACCTGGGAACAGCTTTTAAAGACTGACTCCGCCCCAGCCCCTCCCAGAAGACTGCCCTCTTCAAGGGCGCCAACATCCGCCGCCTGTAGATAAACCCAGGTGTCCTGTTTGTTCCAGCCCCCCAAACCTCAGGGTGACACGCCCCCCACACCCAAGACCTGCTGTCAGGCCTTCCAGCCCCTGGCTGTAATTGCCTCCCCTCCCTGAAGCAGTGGCAATTTAGAGCCATTTCTTTCCACAATGGGATCAAGCACAGGGGGATCAGGTGCCCTCAGGGCTGAGTTGTGCTGAGAAGAGCTTGGGAGCATCTCCCCCTCCCACAGCCTCTTTCCCTGTGCCTATTGCTCTTCAAATTCCAGACCTGCCCCTGGGGCAAGAAAGGCTAAGGAGGGAGACCATTTTTGTTTCCTGAGTCATTCCAGCAGGTGCTTGGGCCGTGATTCAACCCCTTTCCCAAGTGAGAAAACTTAAGCCCTCCCAACTCCAATCCCTAAACCTGTATTTCTCCACTGCAATTGAATTATGGCAAGTTTTATCTTCAGTCCTCCAAGTCATGAGGGGGCAGCCAGGAAACCCAGGACAACTCCCCCGAGTTGAGAGGTCTGTTTTGGGCATGCTGGAGAAAAAGCTTAGAGCCAGATCAGAACACCAGCAAGGAAAGAAGCCTGGACACCAGGCTTTCAGAGGCTGCCGTGAGGGAACCCTGCTCCCCACTCTACCAAGGCCCAGCCCAAGCCCCAGGCTTCAGGTAATCGGATTAAGCAGCCTGCCTTGGCTCCCAGCTTCTAGCAGGAACAGCTCCAGCTCTGAGCAGCCCTGCCTAGCCTGTGCCATGACTCAGGGTATAGGAGTGGCCCAACTCCCTCTACCAGCAAGCTTGGGGGAGGGGAGAAGCAATAAGGCACAAGACCCCCTCCTGTGGACCAGGAGCGAGTACCTGGACCTGGGAAGTTTAGGAATGTCAGAAATTCCCAGAAGTAAGACCATCTTTGGGACAAGAGACAATGAGAAGTCAGGTGTGGAGGAACAGAAAACAAGAGCCAGGGGCCAGGGCAGGTCAGTCCTAAAGAAACAGATGGACCATACTGGGGACAAAGGCGGCACAGGAGCCACAGAGCCATTTGGATTTTTTTTATTCTCTTTTTAAATACTGTACAGTGAAAAATAAATACGCCTTCTCATCCACCAGACAAGGTTGGTCCCCTCCCCCTGGGGACCTTGTCACCCCCCTTCATACACACCCCTGGTTCTACTCCAAAACCTTCCCCGTGCCTCCCACCCACTTATCTCTTACTATCCCCGTCTTCCACAGTGATGAGGCCCCAGAAATGGGGGGTACAGGATGGGAGGAGGGATAGCAGGGGAGGCCCCCTGAACGGTCAAATCTGGGTGGGTCAAGGAGCACCCCCCACCAACAGGTGGAGAATGGGGGTGTTCAGAGAGAGATTGGGGCATTAGAGGATAAAGGCACATCCAGTCTGATGGGGGAGAGAGGCTCCCCTTACCCTGGGGGTAGGGTGGACAAGAGGGAGGGGGTATGACCCTGTTACACACCCCTCCACTAGCTCCTGGAGGTTGGGGGGTACCCAAGCTGCTGTGCCACCCCCCTCCCCCCTAGATAAGAGCAGCTCCAGCGCAGGTCAGTTGGGCCCGTGAGGGCCATGGTGTTGGGCAGCAAGCGAGATGGAGAAGGGAGGGATGCAGGCTGGAGGTTTTATGAAACCCCATTCACCATACTACCCAACTCCAAGGGGGCAGAGAGCTCCCCATTTTCCGAGGGGCCCTTAGGAAGCTTGCTGACAGAGTCACCCTGAGGGGCAAGTGGGAAAGAAAACAGAAAATCAAGCACACGGTGAGCAGAAACTCAGGTGGGTGACATTTCCTACCATCCATGCACTCCTGGCATCTGGTGATCCAGAGGTTGGTTCCTTGATCCCATGATCCAGTCTCTCTTACTTGGGATCCAGAAAATGTGAACTACACATTCCTCTCTATCCCATTCAAAGTTGAGACTATTCTAAACTCCATCAGACACAACTGCCTCTGCAATTCTTTAACAGATTTCTTTTTTCTTTTGAGATGGAGTTTTGCTCTTGTTGCCCAGGCTGGAGTGCAATGGCACAATCTCAGCTCACAGCAACCACCGCCTCCCCAGTTCAAGCCATTTTCCTGCCTCATCCTCTCGAGTAGCTGGGATTACAGGCATGCACCACCACACCCAGCTAATTTAGTATTTTTTAGTAGAGACGGGGTTTCTCAATGTTGGTCAGGCTGGTCTTGAACTCCCGCCCTCAGGTGCTCCACCCGTTTCAGCCTCCCAAAGTGCTGAGATTACTGGCATGAGCCACCGCCCCCAGCCTCGGTAAGAGATTTCTTTGTGAAATTTTGTGTGCCCTCTGACCCATAATAATAACAAAAAAGGATAGGGTAAACCACATCTTGCCTGCCTACCTTCTGTCCTGAAAGAGAGTCCTCTGAGGGTTTAGTGCGTTCCAGGGGTGGCCGCTGGCGGCTCTGAGACTCTGCTCGTGAGATATAGTCAGCCACAGTCACTGGGGAAGGCAGGACATTAAGACTTTGAGATGGTTTGCAATGAAAACCATGAAAATTACAAAAGGAAAAAAAAAAAAAAAGACTTTGAGATAATTCTGGTAGCCAGCCCAAGATACCTGCTGAACCCAAACCCCTGATTTTCACAGGGTAGGAAGTATCCCATTCTCTTAGCTTTAAGGAAGGATTTTGGTGTCCAAAGTTGGCTGACCTGGTTGGCGGTCTCCACTGATAGAACCATCAGTCCGATTACCACGGTTACGGCGGCGGCGACTGCGATTACGACGTTGGGGTCTTGACTCATCTTCTGTTGGGTGGGTAAAAACCAGAGTCACACATCCAACCTCCCACCCTCGATTCTTACCCATCTCTAATTTTCCAGACCCCGGGCACACCCTCACCCAGGCCATTCTCTGTCATGTTGGGCCCGTCTGATTCCAGGCCTCCATCTATGACAGTCCTGTCTTCATCAGTGCGGCGGCGGCGGGAGCGGCGGCGCCTGGCACTTGCTGGGGGAGGTTCTCCAGGCTCTGAATCAACCGGGGGCTCTGGTTCAGATGTGTCCAATAGGCTGTAGGGATTACTATCTGGATCCTTCAGCACTGGTCACAGAAAGAAGAAGAGGAGTTGGCAATCAGGTACCCATCATCTTTCCTTTTGGCCCATATTCATGAACACAGCTGTCTGGTACCTGAGCTAATAGATGAAGAATTGTATCTTGAAGTGGGCCGGGGGGCAGGTGGGGGTCCCCTTCCCCGTCCCCCAGTTGGCCGCCTCCGGCTTTCTTCCCCTCGGGTTGGGGGATCCCTGTCGCCAGGCCCAGCTCGGTTGGGCTCCTCTCTCTTCTCTGACTCAGTCTCAGAAGCTGTAGACACATCTGAGCTGGGGCCTGAAGAACACAGTGGAGTTTATTCAGGGCCATTCATCCCACTTCAAGATCCATCACATTCCCCAAGCTGGAAGAATTCTCCCTCTTACTCACAAGTCACCCAGCCAATCACCTCTTCATCATCTCCATTACAGATTTCCCCAAACTTCCATCCAGACCTCTGCCCCTACCCACAAGCCCTGCCACTCCTTGCCTCCTGTTCCCATAGCTGTCTCACCATAAGCAGGACCGCCTGTCCTCCGGCCACGGCCCCGGCCCCCATAGCTGCCCCCGTAGGTTCGAGTCGCATGGAGGGAGGAGGAGGAGCTCTCATCAGTGCTATATCCAGCCTTGTCACTGCCACCGCTGCCCCGCCCACTCCCAGGAGGGCGAAAGCCCAGCCCAATCTGCCGAAGCTGCTCATCAATTTGCAGCCTTTCCAAGCGAAGCTGCTCTACCTCCTGGTTGGGTAGA